GTATGCCTTTTCTCATGACTCTTCATGCTTATAAAAAAACAATTGTATTTGGGGAAGCACACATTTACAATTTCTTATTTTCCTGTAGGACCCACAGTTTCTACTTTCCCAGAAGAAACAGTTGAATTGACTTGAGAAAATAAAATTGATGCCCAGAAATTACTATACTAAACATAGTCACTGTAGTTTTGCTTTATTATTACTTTAAAGTGTCTCATTGTGTTTAGGTTGTTGACTTGTTCATGATTCACGTCTTTCCTGTGATAGTAGTTATACCAATAGGAACTGTTTATTGTTGACATTTTGATTACTATGTTTTGAAGTAAACATATTTTGTTTGCTTATTATGCAGAAATATTTTTCAGTGCGAAAAGTGAAGCAATCTCACATTTACCTTGAATCATGAAGCTTTCAAACTCTGTATTTAATTCTTCCTTTATAGATAATCCTGCAGGTATGAAAACATTTTTCTTTCTCCTAAAATATTCTATTAAAAAGGTAGGACAATGATGAACTGCATGGAACATCTCAAAGTCTGAGATCAAAAGAAATACTGAGAACTCTTGTACGGCAGGACAAATACCAAATTTATAAGATTTCTGACACTTCGTGCACATTAGATATTACCTACATTTATTTTACATGCAATATCCCAAAATTTGAATGTTTAAAAAGAATTTTAACTCAATGAAGATAAATATAATCACTTCTGTAGTATCTAACTTGACTTCTTATAGACACATTAAAATTTTAATTTAGTTTTCCTGTCCAATTTTACTGTTGAGTACAAGTGATTACTTAAAGAAACAGTGCCATCTTTAAAAAAACTGATTTTTAAAATTTCATTTTATTTTAAGGACACTGGATTATATCGATTACTAATTAAGAGGTGGTGTCTCCTCCTCTCCCCAAAGTTCCACAGAAGTCCAGAATTATTTCAGGGATTTATTCTGTATGTGAGGGGTGCAGTAAAGTCACCATCCAAATGGATACTCAATGATTCAAGGTAAAGTTTTTATTTTGGATAAACAAGAGAGAGCATGTGGAATCATCTGAAAGAGTTCAGCAAGGAGAGAAAAGGTAGACGGCATGGTCCTCATTAGGGAAGTGTGGTGTGGAGAGTTATGAGGTCTCTAAGTGGGGTGAGTAGCTGTGGGAAGCCTATGAACTGGAGCTGGTCTGGCAGTTTAGGGTAGAGGAAGAGGTGAACCAAGACTCATTTTTAGACATATGTTCTACTTGAGACCTAACAGAGAGCACTGGCATACCCAGAAAAAGGGAAACTTAGTTAAAGAATTTCCTCTACCTGATGGCCAATGGGTATCTCTGTTGAGAGATTCGTTGATTGCTGACTCATGTAAAAGGATCATGATGGCTGAGAACAATGCCACTTCTGGGCAGGTAAGTCTAGCTTCTATAGGAAAGTCCAGAGAAATGCCAGTAAGCCTTGTTTCTCCATTAATTCTTCTTCAATTCCTGTCTCTACTTTCCTGTCTTGGGTTTTTCCCTTGACTTCCCCCCACGATGAGATAAAAATTGTAAACCAAATAGAACTTTGTCTCCCCTGCATTGCTTTTGGTCAGTTTTTATCCCAGTAATGGTAAGAAAACTGGAACACTATATATGCATTATTTATTGCTGTATAAACAATGGAAGCCAGGACATTCACAGTAGTCAGGTCCATTAATTGAGCTGTCTGCAACCATGGCCTAAATTCTTAAACATGATTTGATTTTGCTGATCATAATTTTCAAAGCAGACTTTAGTGTCACTAAAATTGAGGCATTTGGGGAGAGTTTCTCATGTTTGTTGAAAAATTCAATGATAAATGCACAATTTCTTAACATAATTAAAATCTGTAGTATGAGTTTTTGATTTTATTCAATGTCCCTGTTTTTTATTACCTTTAAATATTTGACACGCATAACATGCACTTTAGTCAGCAACGGAGATAAAGAAGATGGGCTCCTAATTTAGTAAGTGAAATATGTGCAGTGATATATAATACTGGACACAGCAAGATGGCAGTTCTCCAAGATGAGTGAAAGTAATGTTGGTGCGATTTGAACTTGGAGAGTCAGAACCTTTGCCTCAAGTAAGATATGACTATCACTCCTTCCCCAGTAAGACAATTAAAAGAGTTTACTTAACAGTGTAAAGTGGAAGAAAGATTTATTCAATATGGGCACAATGGAAAATGGAACAAAGTGATGCACAGAGAATTTTTATTGTGATAGGGAAATGAGATTAAAGTTAAAATCGAGACTCAAGGATATACATAGACAAACAGTACTGGCTAAGGTGTGGTCCTGCCCATGACTAACTCATTATTGTCTGGGCGCCAGTCTTGTCCTGTATGATGTTCTGTAGTTGTTATAACTGTGAAAAATTTCTCTCTGGAAGTCAAACTTCCCATCTAATGGACACATCACTCCTTCTCCTCCATGAGATTACTGGAAAAAATTCTTATGTTTTTGGGTTTCAGTGTCTGTGAGATTGAAAGATACAAGTATTTCTTTAAAATTATCTTTATATATTCCCAGCCTATTATAATAAAATGATTGATGGATTGGCTACAATGCATGTTACTTTTGTAAAGGATAGAGTTTTATCTAGAGTTTTTTAATTGATTTTTATTGAGCTCCACATTTTTCTCTGCTCCCCACCCTACCCCTCCTCTTCCTACTTCAGCCCTCCCCAAGCTCCCCATTTACTCAGCAGATCTTGTTTTATTATACTTTCTACTTCCCATGTAGATTAGATCTATGTAAGTCTCTCTTAGTGTCCTCATTGTTGTCTAAGTTCTCTGGGATTGTAGTTTGTAACAAGGCTGGTTTTCTTTGCTTTATGTTCTTTTTAATCTAGAAGCCAGACTTTTGATTTTGTTAGCTTGAGCAGTATATATAAAGCATGAAATGTAAAAAAAAATTCTCAGAACATGATAAAGTGTTAAAAATGTTGTTGTGTACTAATCTGAAAACTTCTTTTGGAAGAATTTTAAACTAAACATTTCAAATAAAATGTTTTTTTTTCTTTTTTTCCTTCTTTTATTATTAATTAAATTTATTTTTAAATAATTTTTATTCATTTTACATACTTATCCCAGTTCGCCCACTTCCTTCTCCTCCTCCTCAAGCTTCCCCCACCTTCCCCTTCCTCCAGCCCTCCTCCACTACTCAGACAAGGTAAGGCTTCTCAAGAGGAGTCAACACAGTCTGAGATGCCACTTTGAAGAAGGAACAAGGCTCTTCCCCCTATATCTAGGCTGAACAGAGATTCCCCCCCCCTCAAAAAAATGGGCTCCAAAATGCCAGTTCAAGAAATAGAGATAAATCTTGATTCCACAGCCAGTGGCCCCACAGACTGCCCAAGTCTCACAACTGTTCAGTTTGGTTCTATTCAGGTTTCTCCACTATCAGTCCAGAGTCAGTGAGCACTCATCTGCTCAGGTTAGCTGTTTCTGTGGGTATCACATTCATGGTCTTGACCACTTTGCTCATATTATCACTCCTCTCTCTCTTGTATGGTCGCTGATAGCTTGGCCCAGTGTTTACCTGTAGATCTCTGCATCTGCTTCCATCTGTTGTTGGAAGAAGATTCTATGATGACAATTAAAGTATTCATCAATCTGACTGTAGAGGAAAGTCAGTTCAGGCACCCTCTTCACTACTGTTTAGGGTCTTAGCTAGGATTATTTTTGTGGATTCTTTAGAATTTCTCTAGTGCCAGATTTTTTGCTAGCCCCATTATGGGCTTGGAAACATTTCCCAACCAAGTCAGAATAAACTGGACTCTTTGATAGTCCTAGCAAATTGTACACATGCCTATTTATTAGTAAGTAGGAAAATGTAAGTAAGCTTTGTACATGCATCTTCATATATATATATATATATACACATACATATATGTATGTGTGTATGCACATACACACAAACATGCATACACACACACACACACATATATATATATATGAAGCTTTCGAGATTATACTACAGTTGCATCATTACCCTTTACCCATTTTCCTGGCTCTCTTTCAAATTCATGACCTCTTTTTCATTTTATATATAATATAAATATATAATATATCATATAAGCAAAATATATGCATATATACATATATAAATAAAAATCATTTTTTCTGTTATATAACATACAATATAATAGACTATAATAGTATTATTATATATTATATATAATTATTGATAAATATTTCTAAATACACAAATACAACCTGTTCATTCTGTAAAATGTTACTCATATGTATGTTTTCAGGGTGGCCATTTTTCTAGCCAAGTGGTGTGCTCTTCCCTAAGAGAGATTATTTTTTTGCAATCTCAGCATTCCTTGGTTGTCTGTAGTTCTTGACCTAGTGTTGCTGGGTGATGTGGGATTCCCCTCTTTATGCTGTGTATTCCATTGGTTAATAAAGAAATTGTCTTGAGCCTGTGACAGAGTAGAATAGAACTAGGTGGGGAAAACTAAACTGAATGTTGGGAGAAAGAAAGGCAGAGTCGGGGAGAAGCCGTGGAGCTGTTGCCAGAGACAGACATGCCGAAACTTTGCCGGTAAGCAATTGCCACGTGGTGATACACAGATTAATGGAGATTGGTTAAATTAATATGTAAGAGTTAATCAATAAGAAGCTAGAGCTAATGGGCCACGCAGTGATTTAATTAATACAGTTTCTGTGTGGTTATTACAGGAGTCTGAGCAGGCGGGAAATGAACAAGTGTCCTCCTTACAGCAGCTGGGTCCTAATATCTTCCTCCGGGTGCTGGAGTGAAAAGGCACAACATCAACGACACAGGTGCTGGTGGTCAGTAAGAAGGTTTACAGTAGACTTGTTTATTTAACAACAGGGAAAAACTTATACACTTTCCCAGGACCCAGGCTGAGTGACAGTTGACATTTGACGTTGAATGTTTGTTTCTCATTGGCTAGGGGCACAATCAAGACCTCTGACAGTGCCTGTTGCTAGGCACTCAGGAAACATTCTAATTGACTAGGCACAGACACGACCTTTGACAGCTCCAGGAAAACTTCAGGTTGACCCCTTTGGCCTGGTAGGCCTTATCTTCATACAACCTAGGACTGAGATCTCAAGTTGTCCCCCTCAAAGGTGAGCATTACAATTAGTGTTATCCTTGTTCACCTCATTTCTAGATAGTGATATTGTAAGATTTATGGTTGCTGCTTTTGACAGCCATGGGACACAAGTATCACAGAAAGCTTCCTCTTCTTCTGGATCTTATGGCCTTTCTCCCCATCCCTTCCATAATAATCCCTGAGCCTTAGATGTGAGAGCTGTACTGCACATGCATCATTTGTGATGAAACACCTCGCCTCCACATTTTGATTGGCTTTGGTTATCTGAAATGATCTCCATCCATACAAAGACAAGTTTCCTTGATGAGGTATGAAGAACACATATCTAGAGTAGAATTAGGGATTGTGCTGTTTAGTGAAGTGATAATTATAGATTCTCCTCGAAGACCATGACTTTCAGTATTTGGCTAAGTTTCTAGTACTAGCTGTGGTTTCCCTCTTTTGGAGCTGGTCTTAAGTCAGATTAGAGATTGATGGTTAGGTTACTGACAAAGTATGTGCCCATTGCTGCATTCGCAGGGTTCTCAAGCCATGAGACTCATTATTGTTGTTCATAGGGATCACATCTGTCTAAGACTTATGTTTACTTCTCTCCTTGGGAAAGTCATTTTTAGGGAACAGATTTTTAGATCTACTTCAATGGCCTTTTGATCTAGTGTCTGAGGTACATGGTGATTTCAGAAAACCTCTGGAATGTTGCCAATGGCAATAACAATAACTTATAACATTTTTCTATAGCATTTTCTAAGTCTCTTGGTCTAATAACTCAAAAGGAGGCATCCAATGCCTGGTATAGATATTTTTTATTAGATGGCCTTTGGCTTTTGGAGGAAGAATTGACAGCTATATCTTATTATCATAATATAATAACAACATGGATCAATTTATTTTAAATAATTCTGAAGTATGAGTAAAGAATGTGGTATAATAAATGAAAATGAATTGTTCAATAAGACAGACTGAGAGATTATAATCTTCTTACTAATTTAGCTTTCATTTCCACTGATACAAATTATTCAGTGATACATTGTGATACATCAGTGATACATTGATGAGGCATTTTCAAGAGAAAATTGTTGTGACAGATATCACTATCTGCTTCATCATGCCTTGGCATTCATATATGGAATCAGACTAATTATGAAAATCATTACCTTTTTGCTGTGTTTATATTATGTGATCTCTTCATGTTGTTTGTGAAAAGTTTATGGAGTATGACAGTTTCTCAAAAAATTGGGGACTGATCTACCTCAAGACCCAGGAATACGACTCTTGGACATTTACCCAAAGGATGCAGACACACACCACAAGAACATTTGCTCAACTTTGGTCATAGCGGCATTGTTCATCATAGCCAGAACTGGGAAACAACATAGATGCCCCTCAACCAAAGAATGGATAAAGAAAATGTGGTACATTTACATAATGGAGTGCTACTCAGTGGTGAAAACAATAGCATCTTAAAATTTGTGACAAATGGGTGGAACTAGATAAAAATGTCCTGAGTGAGGTAACCCAGACAAAGAAAGACAAACATGGCAAGTACTCACTTTTAGGTGAATATTAGACATAAAACAAAGGATAACCAGCCTATAGTCCACAACGCCAAAAAAGACAGGAAACAAAGAGAACCCTAAGGGAGAAATACATGGATCCCCAGGGAAGGGGAAGTAGATCTCCTTAGTAAATTTGCAGCATGTGGGGAGAGATTGAAGGTGGTAGGCAAGTGGGGAGGGGAGAAAGGGAACATGGAGGACAACATGAAAGAGGGAGTCATTGTAGGGTTGAAGAGAAACCAGATACTGGGGAAACTCCCAGGAAGCTACAAGGAAAATCCAAACTAGGAATGTAACTAAGAATGGAGAGGGTGCTTAAACTGCCCTTCTCTTGTAATTTGATTGATAACTACCCTAGTTGTCATCATAGAACGTCATCCCATAACTGATAGAAGCGGATGCAAAGGTCCACACCTAAGCAATGGGCAAACTTTTGGAATTCAGTCACCAAGAGGGAGGAGTATTATCATGAGCAAAAGGGCCAAGCCATGATGGGAATATCGACAAAAACAGGGGACTCAAGCTAGTGGGAATTTACTGACCCTGGATTGACAGTTGGGGAACCAATTTAAGACAGAACTAGGCCCTCTGAATGCGGTGACAATTGTGTCTCTTGGGAAGTTTGTGGGGTCACTAAGAGTGAAACCAGTATTTATCCCTAGTGTATGATCTGGCTCTTTGGAGTCCATTCTTTATGGAGGGATACATTTCTTAAGACTCCTAGAGGGAGTCTTGGTTCTGTGCCAAGTGATGTGACACACTTTGTTGCCTCCACATGGGAGGCCTCACTCTCTCTGAGGAGTGAATGGGACATGGGGTAAAGAGAAGGTAAGAGGTGTGGGAGGCTGGGAGGAAGATGGAACTGTGACTGGTATGTAAAATAAGATTGTTTCAAAAATAATGAAAAAGCATTGTGTGAAATAAGACAGGGTTGGACCTCAGGGAAGATGGAGAGGAAGAACCTTCAGAAATTATCTTCTCCAAAATAGAAATTTCTAAGAGAGCTTAGAAATTCTAACTTGAAATGTCCGAGTAGGATTTTCATAATCCTGAAAATTAACAAAGACTTTAAGTGATTTAAGGGTGAGGCGGTGAACTCTACTGCATGACTACATTGCCCTGTAGTGCTTCTCTTTTCTTTGATCTAGAATTACCTTGGAATCTGAAAGATCTACTTTATAAAAGAATCATTTGATAGCCACAGGAATGCCAAAACTTAAGATTAGCTTTCTGCTTCCAGAAAAGAAACGTCATGGAATCAATGAAGTCCATTGAAGGCCTCCCTGTAACTTTATTTCACCTGACAATTTGCTAGGGTAAACAACTCTGGCTAGAAACAATGATAAGCAAGGGGACGATTTTTTCACAGTTGTCTGAGGCAGTGAGGAGTATTTGAAATAGATCTACTAGCCTAAGTCAAGAAAAGTGTGAAAAATAAAGTGTACAAAGAACTTCGAGAAACTACCCCACATTTCTAAGAATCAAAAGGGTCATTTATTTGAACTTGCAGGATGACAAGAAATGTGAGGATCTCTGAATTCCCAGCACAATCACCTTCACCTGACAAGGATGCCGGTCAAGCAGAAAGCTAAGAGTGAGACACAATTGTCAGTGCTACTGCTGAGAGTGCAGTGGATGGCATGACACCCTCACTAGGTCTGCAATGAGAAGCTGTAAATGGAATTGCAGACAATAAAAAGAAAAATAACAAGCTCTACTGTGATAACATCAAGCCTGGACTTTAATAGCCATAAAATACCCATATATTTCTATAGTCACTAATTAGCAAAAGCAAAACAAAACACCAAAAATAGAACCAAGACAAATCTTCGATATTGTTGTTTCATTACGGAGAGCTGGAGTATTTTAGATGCACCCTTTACAAACTGAGTGTGTTGTCACATGACTATTATCTCAACATGTCTATTAAGTATCCAGAACGAAAGTCTGAAGATGAATTCTTCTTGAGTTTGCATGCAAGAATTCTTCAAAAAGACCATATGTTTAGACATGAACCTAGATACAGTGAATTTTGAGGATTGAAGTCTTTCAAAACACATTTCTCAATGGAATCAGAATGTAAGTACAAGGCAGCTAAGAACATGTAGGAAATATATAACTAAGTAGGAATTAACTTAAAGCTTCTTAAATAATCAGTGAATCAAACAAGACGCAAGAAAAAGAAAACCACATTCAAGGAAAACACTAACTTTTCACATGAAAACAGTTATTAGAGAAAGCTACAGCTTCAAGTGTTTACAATGAAAGGGAGAGACCTCAATTATGTAACCCACCTCCTACTCTTTATAAGCTCTATAAAATTGAGAAAAATGGAGCTAAATCAAGCAGAAGGAAACACATAGGGAATATCTGATAGAAATAAATGAAAAGAGAAGAAAGAAACAATACATATTTTTAAACTGAAAAAAAGACTGAAATTGACTTATTTTGGCTAGAATGACCAAGAGAAATAAAAGAAATTGAATTACAAGAATCAGAGCAGCAAGAAGTGACTTTCATGTTCAGAACCTTACAGAACATTTCCTTGTCTTGACATTTCTTGTATTTTTGGAAGAGAAATGAAAAAAAAATACTCAATTTCATAGGGACAAGGAACGTGATGTCTACGTGAAGATAACATGGCATGCTTGGTAGAAACTCCTCACCAACACATTAAATAAATTACCGTAGTTCCAAGTCAAGTCCAGAAAATTTCAAATTCAAAAACAAGATATAAAAGTCAACTGAACTTCTCTAAATTAACAAAACAATCTCAAAATGAATTCCATACTACTTAAACTTGCATCAAATTAATAAAAATATTTAGAAATATAGTTTCCTTTAAAATAAAAGAAGTCCAAGACATCTACTTATGCTCTGAAAATTATAAGTGTGAAAGGTGATAAGCGCAAACACACACATAGACCTTTGGCGTCCTTGGGCTGAGGGTCTTGGCATATAGATGGTAATTTTCAGAAAAGAGACCTATAGTTAAACACAATTCTTATCTAAACCCTAAATGCCTTTTTGATTATGAAGCTAATCTTAAAATTCATTTGACTACTTCAAGAGATCAGACTATCATACTGCTGAAAAAGAATAAAAATGCCTGTGGAATTATTTAATTTTAAAACCTTACTATGAAAGTTGCAGGTTTCAAAGCTATATGATATTGGCCTAAAATTAAAAATGCAGTTCGCTTTAATATTCCTTGGGAAAATCCCTTCTTTATTTTACATAAGATTGCTTTGGACAAGAATGTCAAAACAATTCAATGAATAAATAGTTCAGGAATCATAAGATACTGGCAATTAAAAAACACAAAAGGTAGATATGTTCTACTACATAGCATGTAACAATAACTGGTCAATTGAAGGTCTAATTATGAGAGCTAAACTCACAAATCTCTTATGAGAAAGGATGTAAATAAATTGCATGAGCCATATTAGTAATGATTCCTTACACATAACAGAAAAAACAACAGAACATAAAAATTAAACCTTATCACAATTACTTTTTTTCTAGTCAAGTAACACAGGTTGAGAAGTAATGCTTACAAATTATATATGTGAAAAGAACATGGAATATATTAAAAACCATTACCGGAATTCAGTATTAAACCTATGTCACTAAATGGTAGCTGAACAATTTGGTTGAATACTTTCTCCTTTGAAGGTTCTTATGCTATAAACAATCGTATGTGATGAGTGTCATCAACAATTAATAGAGTCTATTATAAAAATTATGAAATACTGTCTCATATTCAGTAGGATATCTGTACTTAAAGATGCTAGATACTACATATATGGATGAAGATATATCAAACTTTGAACTTGTAAATATATAATTAAAATGTCAAATGGCCACATTACCTCAGAAACTTGGTGATTCTTCAAAATAGTAAACAAAGAGGTTATTACAAGTCTGACAATTTTATTTTGAGGTATATAACAAAGATAAATAAGTTGTATATCTATACACAAAGTTGTAATTAAATGTTCTTTTGTGGCATTATTTTAATAGCCTACCTGTGGAAACTTTCCAGATAAGCATAATGTGATTAATGAAAAAAAGATCATATTATAAAATTAGATATTATATGGGAACCAAAGTAAATTACGTATGAATTTATGAGGAAGCACATACAAACCTTGAATATATTAAGATGAAGCATGCTTAAGACCCTTCAAATTTCTTCAAATACATTATTCTTGTATATAATATATAAAATAGATCTATTGTGACCATATTGATTAGTGGTCAATCAACGGTGGAGAGAGGGTAAAATGAGCTATGAACACAAAGAGTTGGGGCATCATTCTGATTTCAATAAAGTATGTTGGAATTATGTAATTGAAGTTCTTAATAACTTAGCAAATATAATAAAGTTGCTGAATTATATAATTTAAAAAATGTAATATTACAAAACTGAAGGACTGAAATGCAGTTGCTTTGATATCAAAACTGTCCGTGCTTTTGATGATGAACAACTGAGGTCCTAAGAAAAGTTTGGTAGAAACACAAACACAAAACACACAGAGATATAGAGAGATAATATTAATCAGAAGTTAATTGTTAGAATTGGGTTGAATGTGGTGTCTGCTGACACAGTTTGTTCTAGTAATGAGTAATGGGCACATAAGTGTTTACCTGATGTATTCAAAGTGTTTTTCCTACCTATTTTCTAATTCTCATAAGATTCTGTCACGATTGATAGAATTTCCAATTTTACAGAGGGTAAAACCGAAGTCTTCATGATTAAGAAATTAGTTCAAAATCTTTCCCTGAGTACAAAGCTATTTGAATCAAGGTGTACCTGACTGGAGTATGTACTGTAGCATAGCCTTTATGAAAAGTATTTTGAAACAAACCTTTCAATCACTCATTGACTCACCAATTTATTGGTTATATCATTCATTGGGTGTGTTTCTTGGAAAAACTATTATACTCTGGCCTTTCTTAAAAATAGGCAAGACAGCATGAAGGATACCAAAAAGATCAAAACTGTCCCCAAAATAGAGTGGGGAGAGGAAAACAGGCAAGATCAACTCAATGAAAGCATGGTTTCTAACGAAATAAAATGTAGGGCCATGATCGGAGAAGACGATCTTAGGGGATCTAAAAAGGTGATTTGAAAGGCACAAGCTGACCTTCAGAAACAAGCTGACTGTGAGGAAATCAGAGAGGGAAGGCCTTGGACCCTGGTAGCACAAGTTGTACAACTTTTGAGTAAAGAACATTCTTGGACAGGAAGATGACAGACATAGCTGCAATATTATAATGGAGAGATAGAGTTAAGAGTTTTGAAAGTCACTCTTTTCCATTGTTCCTATGTTCCAAATGTCTTTAGAGACCTGGACATTGGGTAGAAAAAGGAATAACATGGAAGTTATGGTGATATTAATGAGGGTGCTGGTTATGATGGAGCTCTGCTCACCCCAAACAAAACATGAAACTGCAAATGATTTATGCTGGTGTCTGCTAAATGTTTTGTGCATTACCCATCATCCTTAAATGACACAGGGATCAGGAAGAGTGTCAATCAAATAAAACAGGCCCAGAGATACTAGCTCACAAACTCATAATTGCACACCTTGGGCTGGGGTACTTCCCAGTTGTTGAGCATTTGCCTAGCTCAGCAAAACCCTGATGTTTATTCCAAGGACTACAGACTGAAGAGAATGAGCACATAACCATGCATCTTTCGGAGAGGTAAGGGAAGAATCTGAATCAACCATATTTCACATCTTTGTTTCTTATGGATTTTAGATTTGACTTCCTTCAAAAAAGAGCATTCTGTGATAAACTATTATACAAATGATCATTTAACAATGTATTTGTATGTAAATCAACTGGGGAGAAGTTAATGTGTATCCACTAGTTATTTTCTGGGTGTGCCCTATACCTATTGTGGTTGTAATAATTATTAAAATGTTGATGTTTACTATTATTATCTATGCAACTCTAAGAATACCAACTTTGTGATAAAATTTTTTAAAGATAAGTCTCTAGATTTCATTCTAGGTCAACACCCTTGGGGACATTTAGAAAGTACATCTTATATGCCTGAAACAAAATCACCCAATGTACTGGGAAAGCCTGCTCATATGACTCGGAGTAAGAAGCGAGATTACACTGTCACTTATTAAGCAGGACATGCTAAATAAGCAGACAAGATCTTGTTATTTTGACACATAGTTACAGAAAAAGAGCTGGCAGCCCCCAGAGCACAAAATGAAATGTCACAGGATACAGGGAGATGCCATTGTCCAGGAAAGCCATCAGGAGCTACCTGGGAAAATAACAAAATTTGCATGAACTCTTCCAAGTTGTAAACAGGATTGACAAATGGAATGTGTTTTCATGTTTTGCCCCTTTTGAGAATTTTAAGAAAGGCAGAGACAACAGCAAGGGCAGCCTGTTTTCAACATTTCTTTTCGTGGTTGTTTCTTAAGAGGGCCCATATGGGTCTGAGTGGCAAAGGGGAAGCAGCACAAGAAGCTGTATACATTCTGTCTGGGAGCTACAAGGAGGTAACAAGTTCAGAGGACTTTTTATTGTCCCCATTTCAACAGAAAGTTCTAACTCCAGGCTAACACCTGACAACTAGCCTAAGTCACTGTAGCTACCCAGTGACTAAAATAGTCATAGCCAAATAATCTGGTTCTTGGAAATGCAGAAATGTTTTACATGCAAGAAATACACCACCATTTTTCTCTTTCTCTAGAGAGAAACTGAATCCCATGTATCCTAATTAGCCCTGCTTGAATACAGCATCTAATGGGAAACTTTTCAAGATCCTAACACGGTTATCAACTCATCTCTTTTTATGTTTCTTTTTTGTGCCAGTTCATAACGCTTCACAATCCCTTTTTTAAAAATTAAAAAAAAAGAAAAACAGGTTTCCAATCATCAAGAAGAAATTAGCATGGAGTTTTCTATCTACACTCCAGGGTCACCTCCAACCAGAATATCACCTCAGGAAAATTGGTGATTTCTCCATCAGATCTTAGTTTTAAACTCCACTAAATAGTCCAAGAAGTAATAAATAAGCAAATGATTAAATCAGTTAATAAGCCATCTTGGAAAGAACACAAGAAACAATAATTGTGGAGGTTTTGCCAACCTTTAGAATAGAGTTATGGCTTACACAGTTTTTGCAATTTCTTCAGATGAAATTGTTCAACCTTTTACTTGCCCTGGAGGAAAAGGCCAATTTACCAACATTTGTCTTCTAGGTAAATTTGAAAGTGCATTTCAGGTGTTGTAATTTATAATACACTTTCTCAGCATAATAAGGAAGAGAGAAATAGCTATTTCCTGCCTAGATTTTCCAAATCTCATATTAGGGTTGCCAAGGTGAGGCAGATGATATATGTTCCTGTTAGTCGACCAACTAATATGAACAACTTCATATTGATACTTATTTTCTTCTCAAATATTGTGTACAGATCTGGAAAGGATATTCAAGGATAGTCTTGGCCCCCGGGAGTCAATAAGTTGATAGACTAGTTTTCAATTGATTAGCAAGTGAAGCAGATAGCATTAGAGAAACTCACTACATGAGCAAACCA